AGTCTGTTTGCTTTATTGCGAGTGGATTGATGGGAACTCTTTTTAAACCTCGCCATTTAGAGGAAGGTGAAGTCGTAACAAGGTTTCCGTAGGTGAACCTGCGGAAGGATCATTACCACACCTAAAAACTTTCCACGTGAACCGTTTCAACCCAATAGTTGGGGGTCTTACTTGGCGGCGGCTGCTGGCTTTATTGCTGGCGGCTACTGCTGGGCGAGCCCTATCAAAAGGCGAGCGTTTGGACTTCGGTCTGAGCTAGTAGCTTTTTTATTTTAAACCCTTTACTTAATACTGATTCTGGACACGATACCCAAGGACTGCACGCAGACTAGGTGTAAGCAGGCTTTGCGTAAGTTCTAATCTCACTCACTTTCTAATTCTCCTTCTTCGCCTCACCCGCCTCCTTCCAACCAACTCGACAGTACTTGCAGCCGTCAGAATCCCCAAGGAGCATTGCTGTTGCCCTCACCTTTTCTTTATTCCCGCACTTAATCCACACTGTTTTGCTGCCACGGGGCGTTATAGTTTGCCGAGGTATGTACTCAAAGAAAATGTCTTTAGAGTAACAATTAGCAATAGAAATAATAATAATAAACTTAAGTGCGAGCTACCTGTTTGATCTGCGTTGTAGAGTTTTACACAGCTTTTTCCCACCATTGTCCTCAGCACCTCCTCTGTAAAAGCCTCAACAGCTTCCTTGGCATCAGCTGGAGTAGTTTGGCCTTGTCGTGTCGTGTTCGTGTTCGTAGTGCTAGCTTATGCCGACGTAGAAATAGCTTAATCCAAGTATCCGTAGCGCTAAATTTGGTCGTATCGATTCCGTGGTCAGCAGCCAAGTCCTTTGCATGCATACGTAGCATTAACCGCGAGACAGGAGCACCGTCACGACGCAGGGCGTTGATCCAGCGTGCGATCCCTTCTTCAACCTTTCTAGGAAGAACTGTCGCATCTCCAAGACGACGTAGATTCCGGTGAGTTCCTCGACCAGGAAAACATGCTGGATGAATGGTGGCGGTTTGCTTAATCCACTTGTTGATCTGTTTTTTTTTCTCGCCCTGCGTGGCTTGTGAACAAGCTCACCGTAGAAGCGGTCAATTGTTTCGTCAAGGTTGTGACCCGGTGTAAGGAAGTCCAGCACCTCTTTCTTGTGCGCATAGTCCACCGCAATGTCCGGGAGCTTCTACCACCCCCGTTAATGCGAGGTCGAGGCATGAGCACGATGATAGACTTCTACCCACAATTTCCATCCTGCTTTCTCTAAAATTAGCAGTTTCATCTGTTTTTATAATGCAATCTAATTGGTCAATTTTCGGTGACCCTTAGGAATGAGCGACCCTTACGACTACGATTATGCGGTATGCTCATCCACAGGCTTACCCAACAGTGCGATGTGATTCGTCAATTGATGGACCTCTCCCAAATGTTCAGCAACGTTCGCATCCGGAGCCAACTGAAGGTTTCTCAACTTCGTCATCTCATCCGCGTACTTAAAGTACGTCTTTCCCACAAACCTCTCCTTCAGCCGCTCAAAGATTCGATGCGGAGTGCTCTCGTGCTTCACCGTCTTCATAATCTTGCGTCATGCAGTCGAACAGTAAGTCTTTTGCACGCAGGACCTTCTTCAATTCGTCCTTCTTCTCGTCTTCCTTCGACTCCTCCAACTCATCCATGTTCTTCACATCGCTCTCATAGTACAACCACAGGTTCTTCCGTCGCAGCTTCAGCGTCACTCTCTCCGTCCAAGCCTCAAAATTCTCTCCATCAAACGGCTGGTGCATGATCTTATGTCTTCATATTCTTCTTCTCTTCTGCGTCTTTACCGTCAGTGCTCATCACGACTAATCAAGTGTCGTCTTCCACGCTGCGGTCGTTGGGCCCATAACCAGTTGGGAGCTGTAAATTCCTCCTAGACGCACACGCAGAGTAGGAAGAACAGACACACACTGGGCGGCAAAAACCACCTTTAGGCACTGGGTATATTAGCAGCAAATTCTCAACTGCAAATTCTCAACTGAGCCCCCTCGCTCCAATCCTTCTCTCTGTACCCATTGGCTCACACAAACTTAAGTTGTATAGTGTAGATCAGTTTAATCCGCAACAACCTGAACGGGTACGGCTAACCATTTGCGACCTCTGAGCGACATAATCACTTCGCAATAAAAATCCGTCAGAAGAAACTAAATCATTCCCACACATTTTTTAGATACTGTGAGAGAAACTCCCTGTGAGAATGAACCAAGAAAATGCAGGTCGTCATTTCTGTGTCGAGCCTGAAAATAATCATTTAGCCATCATTCAAGTGCATTGTTTAAAGAGACATCGCAAAAACTTTAACGACGCTGTCTTAAGGAACTGCAGAAGTCCCCCTGAATAAGCGTAGCTTTCGCCTCATATACCCCTTTAAATCGGATCACAAAGATTGAAGGTACTTATGACAAATCACAAGATCGCTGATATTTTCCTATGAAAAATTATCAGACGGCCCCTACGCTTATTGATGGGGACTTCTTTACCGCATACATGTAAATAGGTCCCTTGATGTCCGTAGGAGCTGTCAGAATTAGATAAAGGCGGAGAACAATCTTTGGCGAACCATTGGTGAAGCTCAAGTAGTGGCATGACTCAACGATCGCGTGTTAGCTATGCTACCACTACACTTCATGTAGTGTCTGCTAAATCGAGATATCTAATCAAATGACCCCTATCTGAACTACTTAGACAGGTGACAGGCAGCAGATATTGTTTTGATATCCTATTGTGAACACTTTTCACTTGTTATTATTGTGCTTTGCAGATGAAATGTCGCTCGGTTTTATGGCCTAGATCGCGCATGGCTGGCGCATAAAAACAGGAAAAACTGAAACGTAAAACTGATATAGGAAAGACATGCCTTGAATTATTATATCTGCACTTGTTTGCGTTTCGAAAACGAAAAAAGGTTTGTTTTAAAAAATATCGATATCTATGTCGATTTGTCGTAAATCGACCACGAGCGCTTGTCGTAGCTCGATTTATTAGCCACTCGTCCGTCCGGTCGTTCTGTGGTAATCACAGTGTGATTATCATCCCCCTGTAAGGGTTCTACGATAGAACCCCACCCCCGGATATACTATCCGGGGTGGGCTTATCTTGAGATGGGATCGCCAAAGCGCCCCGAGCTTTGGCTTAAAGTTTAAGCGCCCTACAAGCTAGCCCCCTGGATGCGGAAGGATCTCTACTTTGTGTAAGATCAGAATCCAAGTCACTCCACCAACTCAAGGGCTCTAGAATGCGTTTTAAACGCAAGAAAACTTAATTATACTAAATAGGATTTGACACCGAATTCGCCTTCCAAACGAGGCAGGGAGACACTCTCATTTTTATAAATACGAGCTTCGTTGTACATGTAGGCTACATGATGTAGCACCCTCGGGATAATTATAGAAAGAACGCTTACTGTTCTTCTCGCCTTTGGCTTTGCTGCTGGCACGGTATGATACCATAGAACTTCTATTAGAAGGCCATACATGAATACTGTATCTATCTTTTATGTAAGACCCCAAAACTTATTCACAAACCCGTGTTTCATGGAGAAGCTCTGGATTATACTACTGTGTGTAGGGCTTAGCCACCAGAAAAAAAGGTACTTATCTGTACAAACTTTTCAAGAATATTCAGGGGTTCTCCAATACAGTATTATACGGAATTGACGGTGGGTCAGCGCAATAATAAAAAGGGAAATTCCACAAATATCAAAAAAAACTGCAGTAAGTATTGCAGTATTGCCTACAGCTCTGCGTCACTTCCAGCTGAAGCTAGCCTCGTCACATCCAATATATTCCTGTTTGCATGAAAAAAACATAATCAGCTCAAAATTGGCAGGCAACATGCATGTCCGCTAAGGTGTAAGCACCAGCTTGCACTGCGAGAGTAATCGCTCGTATGCATTTGATGTTTGGGGTAGCTGCTTCAACAACTCGCTGTAGATAATATCACAACTGTCTCCTCCATGCTTAGCGCGCTTGCTTGGACCAGCACGAAGAATAGGCGTCGCGTAATCTTCCTTGCATGCCTTCCACTTGCTACCACTGCTTAAGATCTCGAATCGCTTGACCGCAGCAGCTTCTGCAGCTGAAAGAACATCTCCGTTGATCATAGCAAGCTGCTTGTTTGTTGACTCTGAGATAATGATTGGCTATCAGATTCATAACTAAGAGCTAGTAGGGGCAATACAGACATCAAGATACGGTGCTTACGTCCAATTGTTTCGTAAGGCATCTAAAGTTTCTATGAGCCTACTTTTGTAGATTGTACTGGAAATATTGGAGCAATATCATATTCATATTTTTTAGGAAGTTGCAGTAATCCGTTTTTATATTTAAAAAAACTGATTTTAGTGATACTGAAATTTTTTATTCAGACCCCTGAGAATATTAGACCCCATGCGTTCTTTAGTGTCGAGCTTTACAGTATACTCTAGTGCATGTACTTGTCAATTTGTTCTATATAATGATTACAATAATATCAGCTCCCATGCTTCCCTTATTGATGCATTACTGTATACTACTACTGCAGTCCTGTATGCCAAAGTAAATACGCGATGACACTGTGCGGGTCGCACTGCGACCACAATAGAGATATTGGCGGTATAGTATGTCCTACGCATGTGCTGCACCTACTTCACAGCCGCATCATCTGCGTGGAAGCTGAAGTCTGTTTGAACAACATCACGCGGATTAAACTACTTCGGTTAGTCGTAATTTACAGTGATGTTACCCACTTAACGCGAATTGTATTTACCTAAGGGTTGATGCTTAAAAGTTCAATTATTTTACTAAGCTTTAAAAAGAGCTATTAAAAATAAACCTTCTCTCGAATTTTCACTTATAATAATACAGTACCAACACAGCTCATGATAATCTGGCTAGTTACATGAAAAGTTTGTTGTAAACCATTGCCCCCGACCTCGGTCGAGGTGTACCCGCTTGTCATTTCGTAATTCATTCTTCAGACACCAGGACTATTTCTACAGAACTCAGCAGAAGTCCCTTGCGATGATGCATCTCTTTTCAGTCGTATTGCTGGTTGTTGCCGCATCTCTAGCGTGCGCCGCAGAGGACACAACCTCGATGAGGTTCCCGCGCGGTTATCTAGATGAGAAAGACAGTGCTCCTGTTCAAAGGTTCTTGAGGGTCTACGACAACGAGAATGACGAGGAGAGAGCTCCTGTTGGTAACGTCTTAAATTCTATTATGACCAGTACATTGAATGCCGTCGAGTCCGCTAAGCTGAAGGTGTTTTTGCTCAAGAAAAGTAGTGGAGTTGACGTTTTGAACAGCTTTAAACTCGGGGACGATGCGTCAGCTGCTCTGAAAAACTCAAAGCTGGAGACTTTGAATAAGTACGTCGTCTGTGGACCAAGTTTTCAACGTTCTAGATTTTAAGAGCGCTGGTATTGGAGCTGTTATCAGCCGAAACGTGGACACTTTGGACAAGTACGTCACGCTATACAACAGAAAGACATCAGCAGACGAAACGTTGGTAATACCTTACATCATCAATGTTTCACTGAGCCTCATTTCCGTGAAAATGCAATATTAAAAAGTCGATCTGTTGATATGCACCGACTCTGCACGGCTCGGCTAGCCGGCGTGACGTTCCAAAATGGACCGGTCCCAAACCGGTTAATCTGGTGGATGGCCAGGAGCACTGAAGTTTAGAGGACAGATTTAATTGACTTTAATCTACTCACTTCGGCATTTGCCTTTAACAACAACAACAGGTTAACAGCCGCAAACGCTCAACTCTACTGGAACGTTCCAAAATATGACGACGACCAAGCGCGCCGAAGTCCTCCTCGGGAGTGGGAACTACTTCCACTGGGAGTACAATATGCGCATGACGCTAGCCAGGAAGGGCCTGCTTGCGCATATTCAAGCCGTCAAGCCGGAGAACGAGATCACCGAGGCGTGGCTCGTCAATGATGCCAAGGCGCTCGGCATCATCGCTCAGGGAGTGGAACTCCAGCATCAGACCAAGATTCGGTCGGCCACTCGTTCCATAGAAGCTTGGGGAACGCTGCGAGAGTTCTATAACCGCACCACGCTCCACAACCGCGTGACGATGACGCGTCGCCTCCATGAGTTCAAGATGGAAAGTGGATCGACTATGGCAAAGCATCTGGATGCGTTTGATGAGCTGATCGTCGGGTTGCAGACGCTAGGAGAGCCCATGGACGAGGCACGCCAGCTGGTGGTGCTGCTGAGCAGCCTCCCCGATGAGTACGAGCTCATTCGTCTATCGTGGAGAACGCCAAGGGTGTGACGCTCATCGAGGACCAAGGAAAAGCTGTTGAAGGAGTACGAGCGACTCGAGAAGAAGGAAATCATGGAGAAGGCGTTCCAAGTGAATGGGAACGCAGGCAAGTTCCGGAACGGCCGAGGGAACGGTCAAAAATGGAACGATCGAAAATGGAACGGTCCGAAACGGAACATTGGTTTCAAGGGCAAGTGTTTCAACTGTGACCAAGTGGGTCACATGAAGCGGGACTGTCCTGCCGCAAAGAAGAGCAGTCAAGACGATGCAGTGTTTGCAGTTGGTGGGGAACGCTCGGCCGGGTGGCTGATTGATAGTGGTGCGACGTCGCACATGACCCCTCACCGGAACGACCTATTTGGGTACGAGGCACTAGACAGTGGCATCAACGTGACGATTGCAGATGGCAAGAAGCTGCGCGTCGCAGGAACTGGAACGGTCAAGTTGACTGGTTTGGACGGTAAACGCATCCGAATGGTGGACGTGCTCCACATTCCGGGGCTCGATAGACGGTTATTGTCGGTCGGGAGGCTCGCGGAACGAGGCATGAGCGTGGAGTTCCAGCGTTCCAGTTGTGTAATTTGGGGACGGAACGCTGCGATAGCGTCAGGGAAGAAGGTCGGTAAGGCGTTCCTGCTGGACTGTCAGCAGGAGGAGGCACACCTCGTGCAATACGCCGGTCCTGACAGCGAGTGGGAGCTTTGGCACGCTCGCATGGGTCACCCCAACAAGGACGCGCTGACGAAGACTCAACGTTCCACAATTGGTATCCCACATGTGAAAAATGGGAACGAGACTTTGTGCGGTGGATGTATGAAGGGAAAGCAGACCGTGACGACGTTCCCGTCACGATCGCTAACGAGAACGACGCGTGTGTTGGAACTAGTACACACGGACGTAATGGGCCCAATGAGAAACGATCTCAAAGGGTGGTGCCAAATATGTTCTGACGTTCGTAGACGGAA